TAAATAAAAATTTGTAATTTAAATTTAATTTTTTTATTTATAGTGCTCTTTCTATTTAAATTTAGTGTTAATTTTTTTTATTTCTTTTGTTTTCTTATTTAGGATCTACTTATAATATTATAAATATTTACTTATTTAATATTACATTATACTCTTTTAATATAATGTTATGATTGTAGGTTTAAAGTCATATATAACATTGCAATTATAATATTGTTATTAAAATTAAGAAATAATTATAGAGTTAGGGAAAAAAAATAATTTTTACCTTGTAATTTAAAATTTTGACAATTAATTTATAATAAATTTTAAGGAAAAGAAAACTAACCGTTATTTTAAAATAGAATAAGTATTTGGGTGACTAGTGTTAGTGTGGTACTGCAAAAAATCAACATGTAAATAGAGGAGATTGTTTTGTTAATTAGAAATCTCTTTTATTTGACAGTTGGTGTTCTCCTATGTACAGGGATGTTTGTTTTCTCATTTTACAAAGAGTTATGGAATTATTAACTTTAAAATTTAATTAAATAAATTAAATATTTTAAATTACAAATAATAATAATTATCATTTATTAGTTATTAGTTATCAATTAGCATAAGTGGTTTGACAGATTTGGATTCTTATATATCCACTTTTGTAGTAGATAAAAGCTGACTTTTAGTTTTTTATTTTATTAAATTTTCAAGTTTTAATCCCTTATATGATACTTTTAATATTTCACTTATTAGAATTAAAAAAAATAACCCTCATTTATAACATTTTGTTAATTCTATTAACTAATTGTTAATTTTATTAACTGAATATTAACTAATTATTTATTAGTTAGTAAAAACATATTTTCAACTAATAGAGTTAATAGTCAATTAACAAAATTATTCTTTAATTAACTGTTAATTTTATTAGTTGACTGTTAACTGACTATTAATTAGTAAAAATTTACTTTCAATTAACAGAAGTAACAATCAACTAATAGAATTAATAATTAATTAATAGAATTAACAAAATATTATAAAATGAGGGTTATTTTTTTCAATTTTAAAAGATGAAGAGTTAAAAATGTCATATTACAAAGTGAGAGATTAAAACCTACTACTCTGGTAAGTTAAAAAGGGTAAATGTAGCTTTTTGCCCTTGTAGTACTTCATTTTAGCATATACGAAGGGTCATCCTTCCAAAACTCTTTTTTGAAAGTTTTGTTTAAAAATTTATTTTTTAATTAATATTTTTAAAAATTAATTATTAAATTAAAAATTTTATTTATATAGATTATATATATTAATTTTTATATTGATTTAATATTTATAATTTTTTAATAAAAAATTTTATTTATTAACATATATTTAACGATATTAAATTTTTATAATTAATAAAATAATTAATTTTACTAGAATAATTAAAAAATCATATATTCATAATGAATATCAAATCTAAAAAGTATAAAAATCTCTATAAAGAACTGCTCGAAGTCTACTTTTCACCTTGAATAGGCATTTATAAGTGAGAACTGGGACTCCGAAGGAAAAAATAGAAAATTACGAGAAACTGCATAAAATCGGCCATGGGATCGACATCATAAATGAGGTGTCGACACTCTTCTTAAATTTCCCTGATATTATAGAAGTCCGTGTCGGACTTTTGGACTAAAAAGCAATTTTCTTCAATTCTGAATGACAGTCCTTTTTGTTCACTTTAATCTTGAAACCTTTTAATTTTTCATCTGAGTCCCTTCAACTTTCTCTCTTTCCATTTCGTCCTTTAGCTTTTGATTATTCGACAATTCTGTTCCAAATTTTTAATCTTTCTGGTTTTTTATAATTAAGTGCTTTTCTACACTAACAATGAAAAACATACAAAATCACGTGAAATTACACTAAAACCATTCAAATATCAATAAAACTAAAGTAGAATTAACACAATAATATATATGAGAATTCAACTTATCAAAAGGCTGGGAAATGATTCAAGAGAGATGGAATTTGAAGCATGATTTGCTGCAATTGTATAACAGAATTTAATTTGTACAAGCGTTAAAATATTTCTTGCACTCTCTATTTAATAAATTACTACATGTAACTTATCAAAAAAGAATAAATTACTAAATTTATAGAAAGTGTTATCACTCATGTTAAAGAGATTTTTTCTAGCAAAAAAGTAATCTTCTTGAATAGATATGTACTCCACACAGTCTCCTTACACCTTTCTGGAAGAAAAGAAATAAGCAAAATAATACACAAACAAGAGAAGCACAAAAAGGGAAATACACAAAATATGTTATCTAGGTGGAAGTTAAAAACAACCAAGTCTGGAGAGCCAACAAGGAAACGAAAGGAAAGGAACGAAGTATAAAAGTAACCATTCATCTTCAGGCTAATTAACAGCATGTCTTCAAGCCCTTTGCGAGTCCTGGCAACCAGTAATTAATACGGATAAGGAACAATTCCATTGCATCAGTAAATAGCAGCCTGTGAATACAGATTAATAAATTCATCATGAAGAGTGCAACATACAAAGCACTGAAATAGTTATTGTTGAGAGAAAAAGGTAGATATATTAAAAGGGATAAATGATAGACAGACCTAGAATTATGACGAATATCCAAATCATCAGCAACTCAGCTCTGCATTCCATGTCCATCTCCAATCAAATCCCCTAAACTTATCATTGAATATGGCTTTGGCAATGGAGATGGTCGACCACTAGTAAGTGCCTGATAAACTTGCTGCATGGTGGGCCGCAATTGGGGGTTGACATGCAGGCATGTAAAGGCTAGCTTTGTTGTTGAAACCATTTGCTCAGCTACTTGGTTCCTCGGTTGAGGTTGAAGACGCTGGTCTATGACATGCTTCAGCAGCATCTTTTGGCCATTCGATATCCATAAATTCGAAATGATATCTCCTGGATGCCTTCCTATGATTACTTCCACTGCTACCACCCCAAAGCTATAGACATCACTCTTTTCAGTTGCTTGCATGGTGTAAGAAAACTCTGCAAAAGCAAGTCTAATTAGTCATGTAAACAATATGATAATTACTACAGTTTATTAGATGATATCAAATAAAATACCTGGAGCTATGTAGCCGAAGGTGCCTGCAAAGGATGTCCAGTTGGAGGAGTCAGGCTTTAAAATTCTAGCAGTGCCAAAGTCAGAGACATGAGCTTCGTAATCCAAATCAAGCAAAACATTGTTGCTAGAAATATCACGATGGATTATTGGTGATGGGCAATCATGGTGCATGTAAGATAAGGCACTAGCTACTCCTTTAACAATGTTCAACCTCTTATCCCAATCCAACTCCGCTGCTTCTTTTGGGTTGCTCAAAACCATTTTCAAGCTCCCTCTTTCCACAAACTCATAGACCAGCAATGAGTGCTCCTCATCAGAACAAAAACCATACAACTTAACAATGTTGCGATGTCGTATTTCTGTTAAAACACGAATTTCGCTTTCAAACGCTCGTAAATTGATGGTCTCGTTATCATTTGAGGTGTGAAGTTTCTTCACAGCAACAACTCGACCTGCAGGCAAAACAGCTTTGTAAACATTTCCATATCCTCCTGAACCAATGCAGTAATTGGAGTTAAATTGCTCCGTAGCTTCAAGAATGTTTTCATAGACGATTTTTCCGTCATATCCCCATATGGCAAAAATATCTTGATATTGACCCTTTCTTGGCTTATATTTTTTGCAATCAACAAGAAGTAAACACCACACCAAGATAAGCAATAGGAGCAAGCCGCCCAAAATAGGTACAACTATCAAAATCACAAGTCCACTTGAACTTCTCTTGTGGCTTTTGGATGGACAAGGCATTAGGCCAGAGGCAGCGCCGCAAAGGCCTTTATTGTTTTCAAGAGCATCAAATGGGGCGTCAAGAAAGGCTTTGATGTGAGGGATGGGGCCCTCCAACTGATTGTAGGAGATGTTGACATTTGTCAAGCTCAACATTTCATCAAAAGTAGGAGGAATGAGCCCAGAAAGCATGTTGTGAGAAAGATTAAGTGTTTCTAACCTTTGGGATCTTCCAAGCTCTAGTGGAATCTCTCCCATTAGAATATTCCAACTCAAATCAAGAGTTTCAAGGGCAAATATGTTCTTTATTTCAAATGGAATACTTCCCCCAAGTTGATTGTTGCTCAAATTCAAGCTCAATAACCTGAAGCATCTTCCAAGTTGTTTTGGAATTGTTCCACCCAAATTGTTTGTGGACAAACTGAGTTGTTGCAAATTGAGTAGCTGTTCTATTTCTAATGGGATTCTACCAAACAGTTGGTTATCATTTAGAAAGAGATAGACCAATGATGTCAAGTTGCATAATTCCTTAGGAATCTCCCCATTCAGCTGATTTGAAGCAAGATCAAGGCGTTGTAATTGAGCGGCTTGAGCTAGCTCAAGAGGTATCTTACCAGAGATGTTATTGTTAGAGATCTTCAAGCTTGTGAGATTATGACATTGAGCCCAATTTGGAGAAAGCTCACCATACAACTTGTTATTGCTGAGATCAATATAATCCAACTTGGGATATATTCCAAATGCCTCTGTTATATCCCCTTCAAGTTGGTTCTCTTCAAGCCTTACTCTAAATAAACTATTGCAGTTTTTCAAACTTTTCGGGATTAGACCTGTCAAATGATTTTTACGTGCTGAAAAGTATGTGAGAAATCCCCCAAGGCAAATATTCTCAGGTAAATGACCACTAAGTTTGTTATCACCCAATTGTAAATTTTGAAGAAGACTAAGGTTATTCATTTCCAAAGGAATAGGCCCGGATAAATAGTTTTTACGCAAAGAAAGTTCAGTGAGAGATTTAAGCAATCCTATGGAAGTAGGGATTGAGCTAGAGAAACTGTTATTAGACAAATCAAGTTCAGTGAGAGATTTAAGCAATCCTACCTCAAAAGGTATTGAGCCAGAAAGCATGTTATCATAAAGAAAAAGAACAGATAGGTTGCTCAAGTTTCCTATGGAAGTAGGGATTGAGCTAGAGAAACTATTATCAGACAGATCAAGTTCAGTGAGAGATTTAAGCAATCCTACCTCAAAAGGTATTGAGTCAAAAAGCATGTTATCATAGAGATAAAGAATAGATAGGTTGCTCAAGTTTCCTATGGAAGTAGGAATTGAGCCAGAGAAACTGTTATTAGACAAATCAAGTTCAGTGAGAGATTTAAGCAATCTTATGGATGTAGGGATTGAGCCAGAGAAACTGTTATCAGACAAATCAAGTTCAGTGAGAGATTTAAGCAATCCTACCTCAAAAGGCATTGAGTCAAAAAGCATGTTATCATAGAGATAAAGAATAGATAGGTTGCTCAAGTTTCCTATGGAAGTAGGAATTGAGCCAGAGAAACTATTAACAGACAAATCAAGTTTAGTGAGAGATTTAAGCAATCCTATGGATGTAGGGATTGAGCCAGAGAAACTGTTATCAGACAAATCAAGTTCAATGAGAGATTTAAGCAATCCTATCTCAGAAGGTATTGAGTTAGAAAGCATGTTATCATAGAGATCAAGAATAGATAGGTTGCTCAAGTTTCCTATGGAAGTAGGGATTGAGCCAAAGAAACTATTATCAGACAAATCAAGTTTAGTGAGAGATTTAAGCAATCCTACCTCAAAAGGAATGTTCCCCGAAAAGTTATTGTAAGACAAATCAAGATAAGTGAGTTTGGACAAGTTAACGATGTGGGAAGGAATTGCCCCGTGAAGTGAATTATTGCTAAGATTGAGCTGTATTAGGTCAGGGAAGGCAAAGAAGTTAAGGCCATGAATTGTACCTTTGAGACCATAATCATGAATGGCTATTCTGGTGATTCTTTTGGCTTTATTGCAAGCAATTCCAACCCATTTGCAAGGACGGTCCCCAACCCAAGACGAGAGGAAACTTTGGCTTTGGTTGTCGAGACTGGTCTTCCATTTGAGAAGAGTTTCTGTTTGGTTGGGAGAGAAAGACACAGTGGAAGAAACAGAAGTAGAAACAAGAAAAGCCTGAAGCATCAAGAGGATGAACAAGGGTGATGCCATAATACCAACTAGATTCTGAATGTCATGGGGGATAGAATGCATAGGCTTGCATTGACAGGTATTTATAGAACTAAAAATGTTTCTTTGCAAAATTCTCACAACTTGATGAATGACCGCTAGCACAAGTCATTGTTAATTTTAAACCTTTCCTTATCATTTTTCAATTTTATGCATTTCGTGCAAGGAAAAGAAAACAAAAATTGAGCAGTTGAATAATTCAACACAAATAAAGTCACAAATGAATTTTTGGATAGTTCCAGTTGGCGGAAAAAGGGTGATACAAATTAGTAATTTTCCATGAGCAGTTCTTCCTTCATTTCTTTTGTTTTTGGATTAATAACATTTTTTTCTTAATTTTTCTTGTTCGATTTTGTTTACGTACTAACATTTTCCTTTCCCCTGAGCGAATTGTAAGTTGTATTAGGTAATTAACAATTTGTAGCTATAAAAAGCAATATCCTTGACGTAAAAGTAAAAGAAAGGACCTAAAGGAATCGTCTATAAATAATTTGTCCTACAAGATGACTTATAATTAAGGTCATCTCCGCCAATTCAGCACTAGCTACTTTGTGTAATGAAAAAGATCTCATACTGGACGAGCCAGATCCCCCCGCGAGGAGACTAATTTGTACAGGTACTTCAGTAATGAAATCTCTTACAAGTTACAAATGTTTTGTCCTAGAAAATGACTTCAATCACTGTCTGGACTAATTTATGCATGTCTCCTTGTGTCTTCTATAATGAAAAACATTTTTATTTGTCTTGGTTTTTCTTTTTCGATTGTGTTTTTATTATAATATCAACCTTATGATTTCTCCTAAAAGCATTTTGTCTTTTAATTAACTATCGAATATTAACTGTATGTTTAGGTTGAAAGAAATGAAGGAAAAGAGAAGAAAGGGTAAAATTTTTTACTATTTAGTTATCAAAAAAATTGAAAGGAAGAAAATATAAAAAATTTCCTTTTCTTTATTTTTTTCTCTTAATTTGTTAACTTATCTAAATAGAGAGAAAGAGGAGAGGAGAATGGAGAAATAAAATTTCCCTCTCTTCCCTTCACCTCCCCTCCATTCTTCTCAATTTAAACATGCTATAAATATACTAAGGCCAAAGAAGTAATTAATGATCCTTTTTGGGAACTTTATCTTGTGGCGGACACCTCCTTTCTGTCCTAAAAGATAGCCATTAGGATACTCCAATTCAAGCTCGATTGTATTGCTGAAATGAAGCCATCATTTACAAAAGTATACTTACTCAACTGCTGTTCTTCTATAACCATGCTTATTGATCCATTTGACAAAACATGCTCAGAAGTTAGTCAGCTCATTTTATGCATTTAATCATTTGTTATGGCAGAAGATTAAATAATAATGTCACTCACGCCGAGAAAAAAAAAAAAGAGAAAAAGAAAAAACAAAGGCAATAATGTCACCATAACGTACTCATTCCGGTAACATTGGTTGGACAAATTTGCAAAGACTAATCAAGCCAAGCTTAAGAAATCCCCATGCACAATACTAGATGGAATCTTTTATACATGTTCTGTCCCACAAGATGACTTAAGTTAGAACAAATTTGTAAAGACTTTTCAAGATTGAGAAATTCGTAAGAATAACTTTTGCTGGGAACACAGAAGGTTTAGTAGGAAGATAGAAAGACACAGTGGAAGAAACAGAAGTAGAAACAAGAAAAGCCTGAAGCATCAGGAGGATGAACAACGGTGATGCTATAATACCAACTAGATTCTGAATGTCTTGGGGGATAGAATGCATAGGCTTCCATTGACAGATATTTATACAAGTAAAAAAGTTTCTTGGCAAAACTCTCACAACTTGATGAATGTCCGCTAGCACAAGTCATTGTTAATTTTAATCCTTTCCTTATCATTTTTCACTTTTATGCATTTTGTCCTAGGAAAAGAAAGCAAAAATTGAGCAGTTGAATATTTCGACACAAATAAGGTCACAAATGAATTTCTGGACAGTTCCAATTGGTGGAAAAAAGGTGATACAAATTAGTATTTTTCCATTAGCAGTTCTTCCTTCATTTCTTTTGTTTTTGGGCCAATAACATTTTTTTCTTGATTTTTCTTGTTCGATTTAACATTTTCCTTTTCCCTAGAGCAAATTGTAAGTTGTATTAGGTAATTAACAATTTGTAGCTATAAAAAGCAATATCGACGTAAAAGTAAAAGAAAAGACCTAGAAGGAATCGTCTATAAATAATTTGTCCTACAAGATGACTTAATCAAGGTCATTCATCAACTCAGCACTAGCTACTTTGTGTAATGAAAAAGATCTCATACTGAAACAGCTAGGTCCCCACACGAGAAGACTAATTTGTACAGGTACTTCAGTAATGGAATCTCTTACAAGTTACAAATGTTTTGTCCTAGAAGATGACTTCAATCACTGTCTGGACTAATTTATGCATGTCTCCTTGTGTCTTCTGTAATGAAAAACATTTTTATTTGCCTTGATTTTTCTTTTTCGATTGTGTTTTTATTATAGTATCAACCTAATGATTTCTCCTAAAAGCATGTTGTCTTTTAATTAACTATCTAATACTAACTGTATGTTTGAGTTGGGGAATGAAGGAAAGGAGAAAAAAGGGTAAAATTTTTCACTATTTAGTTATCGAAACAAGTGGAGGAGAGAAAATGTAAAAAATTTCCTTTACTTTATTAACTTTGTAATTGAAATACAACAATAAAATAAAGTAAAAATGGGAAAAAAAATGTTCAAGGAACAACAGAGGATGAGTATGTTACAGTGGCATTATTACAGAAAACACAATCGAAAAAGAAAAAGACAAATTAAAATTAATGTTATTGGTCCAGAACAGTATTATTAAAGGCACAAGGAGACATGCATAAATTAGTCCAGACAGTGATTGCAGTTTTTCGGATGTGACTTTGTTTGTGTTGAAATTTTCAACTCAATTTTTTTTTTTAAGCAGGTATAAATTTAAGAAGGAGAGATTTAAACCAACTTCTAAGGGGGTGCACATTTCTTTAAAATTTATAGTCAATTGACATAGAAGGCAGGTGCTATTCAACTCATTTTTGTTTCCTTTTCCTAGGACAAAATGCATCAAAGTGAAAAATGATAACGAAAAGATTGAAGTTAACAATGACTTGTGCCAGCGGATAGGCATCAAGTAGTGAGAATTTTGTCAAGAAACTTCTGTCATTATGCCTCGCTTATAAAACGGAATACTTTTGAAAGATATATTCCATTTAATATTATGCTTACGGCGACTCATTCTTACGGGTATCTTAATCTTGTTTGAATAGTACTCTTTGTTCCCAAACCGTTTGTTTACCTTTGTTTAAATGCCCTTCTTCTTTCAGATAGCTAACTTGGATAAAATAACGGGAACGTGCACAAGTTGTAAAATTTAGGGTGAATGTTTTTGCATGAGATTTTGGAGTAAGGATGTTATTAGGAACAAATAGTCATGATGCCATTTACGCATTTGCTATTTGATTCAAGGATTCAATTTAAGTTTAAATGGATTGAATCAACTCACAAAAGAGTTGCTGAAGTATGTCTTTCTTGTGAGTGTGAAGAAAAAAAGTTTTCATATTGAATAAATATGAAAGGAAATGATGAATTAAATATTTCAAGACCCATATAACTACTAAATTAATCTTTTGATTATAATATGATCTCACAATGTGTGATGGGTCACTTAACAGTGGCAGAACCAAAATTCTATGCAAGGTATGGCCTTATGACAATTGGACTAAAATTGTCAATTTTCCAGTAGTGACCTCACTGTGCTTATTTGGAAAAATGAATATTTCAAATTAACAATAATAAATAAATAAAAATAACTCGTAAATAATTATAATTATTAGTCTGTTTTTTCACTCATTTACCAGTCTACAGAGTAATTGTCTAGGGTTGTCATACCTATGATCTTTTCATTATTGTTAGTAATTCTTCAAAAAAACAAATAAGTTGAAGAAACTAATGAGTTGTCCAACAATTACATGTTAGACAATGATTTATTTTGAAAAATTTTAGAAAAGTTAACAAACTCATTTTTTAGGTATAATTGTTTGTACTATGAATTTATTATTTTTTAATTTTTTTTATTTATGCTTAAAAATTTGAACAAATTAAAGAGCATTATTTCTCAAATAATATACAAATCTATTTTTTTCTTAAGTCCTAAATTATGTCTACTTTATTAAGATTAATTGTGTTAATGTAATTTGATTTCTTGGTGGCTGCTATATGTGCACCAATTTGGATATTTTTGCATTTTGTCAGCAAATTCTCCAAGGCCTGGTGCTAATAGTATGCTGGAATAGGAAAATGAAGATGGATATAAGGGAAACAGAGAGAAAAAGTGTATTTTAAGATTTTAATTTTTTTTATATTCGAAAATTATTAATAACACTAGATAAAGCACCAATGAAGTTTTCTTTTGTAAATAATTTTCACATCATGGAATATTGAAATCCACTAATGGGCCAAAAAATGTCAGAATTGAAATCCTTAGTTAAGAGCAATTAAAGTTTGTTCCTTTAAGTATTAAATTGATGAAACTTAATGTCTTACTTAGCTATTTTTGTCAATTACCAAGGTAGGGCCTTCCCTCTTTTAACTTACTTTTTCCTTTGTAGTTCCGCCACTGTCACTTAATACCTTCTTGTTATGAGTATATATATTGATGATGTTGTGCTTATGATGAGTATACTCATAAAACCATGTATGTATCTCAAAAAAAAAATAATAATAATAATAAACTCTCATGTGAGCCTCAAAACTCACAAATGAAAGGTAGAGAGTTGAAGTATGTTTTTTCTAATGTGAGTGTGAGAATAAAGGTCCTTACATTGAATAAAGTTAACGGGATGAGTACGTTATGGTGACATAATTATAATTATAATTATAATTATAGTTATAAAACTAATCAAATCAAGTCACCATACTAATTAACGGGATGAGTACGTTACAGTGACATTATTACTGAAAACACAATCGAAAAAGAAAAAGACAAAATAAAATTAATGTTATTGGTCCAG